CTTGCCTCGCATCTTTCCAGGAGTCTTGAACACGTTTGCGACATCACTGTTTGAGTCAGCCCGCCTGTACATACAATGTTTCCGAGCTTGCCGTACAGATGGCTTCGGCTGAAGACCTCAGCCATGTGCTCATTCAGCCACTCTAGCTGATGCTGAGCAGGATAGACCACCTCTTCTTTCTCATTCTGCAATAACTGGAGGGCATTTTCCTTCTCTGCCGTTATCCAGGAAGGCGTCCCGACCGCGGTAGTTCTAGCAGCCATTGGTATCGATACGCAATGCAGGACAGTATTCGCATGTAGTCGAGGTCTGAAAGGTTCAAGACGCGTCTTGGTCTGCCGCTGTGGATTGGGGGAGAGGCATTGTTATGGCAGAAAGTCTACTACCGAAGCTGGTCTTTCGAAGGTGAGGTAGGATTGAAACCGCTTGCATGTTTTGGTTGTGGCTGAATTGGACTTAGCGTGAATGCGAGGTCACGTGAAAGCCTCATGGTCACGTCACGCCGTCCCTCCAAAAGGCACTTTACCCACAACACTCCAGCTCCAACTTCACGGTCAACGACTATCAACAGGCAAATGATATCACAGCGCTTGGTACGATGCTCAATGCCATTGTTCCCGAGTTTCGTAGAAGGTAGAATTGCTCGACAGAGACAGCTGGCATTGGATACTGATTTCGAGATACCCCCTCTCGATAATGGAGTTTCCGAGACGCTTGCGACTGGTGGACTCGAAACATCACGGCCCACAAATTGGAGAAGACAGCGATCTCGGAGACTCCCCGATCCTGGGGCGTTTCGTATATATTGTAGTTCGCTCGTGCTTCATGGTCAGCATGTCCTCGTCATTGTCGCTTTCTGTGCCCTCGTTCCAACGCATTGCCTAGGAGTAACGGCGGCATGTCCTCCAAATCTTGTCTCTCCGTGCTCCCAGGCCGCCTCGCTTTTAGAGCGTGGACAGACATCCCCTCTCGACCTCGGCTGTGTCAACTAGCATCCTGCATCCATGAGCGGAGACACTTTTCCGCAGCCCGCAAGCTGAGGCTGATGGAGATGAGTGGCTTCACTGAAGAGCAATTGACTGTGCGTAACGCTATTCAGAAGATCTGCGCTCAATTTCCGAACGAGTATTGGCGCCAGCATGATCAAAGCGAGACTGATCCAAAGGAGCTGCATGCCGCGCTTGCGGCTGATGGGTGGCTTGGGATTGCTCTGCCGGAGGAGTTTGGGGGTGCGGGCCTAGGTATATCTGAAGCGACCATGATGCTCCAGACCATATCGCAGTCGGGAGCAGGTATGGCCGGCGCTCAATCTATCCATGGCAATGTCTATGCGGTCAGCTCTAAATAGAATGCGGATTACCAAACTTGTGTCGCTGACAATGATCAGACTCAACCGCTGGCTAAGTTCGGAAATAAAGAACAGCTGGAATCCACCATACCCAACATCATCAACGGGACATGGAGAGTCTGCTTCGGGGTGACCGAGCCGAACACTGGTCTCGATACCTTGAGATTGAAAACCACTGCCACTCGCAAGGGTGGGAAGTATGTTATCACTGGTGAGTCAGGATGAGGTTTCCGTAACGGATTCGTGCTTACTGGAAAACACAGGACAAAAGATATGGATAACATGCGCTCAGGTTGCGTCGAAGATGATCTTGCTCGCACGGACGACACCTTTGGAAGAGGTGAAGAAACCAAGCGAAGGTCTTTCTATGTTCTGTATAGACATTGACAGATCCAATCCTGCCCTCGAACTCAAGAGAATCAAGAAGATGGGAGGCAGGGCTGTTGACGCTAATGAAGTATTCTTCGACCACTACGAAGTACCTGAGAATACCTTGGTTGGGGAGGAAGGCCAAGGCTTCAAGATCATTCTGCACGGCATGAATGCAGAAAGGTGTCTACTCGCAGGGGAAGCACTCGGGCTTGGATATGCGGCAATCGAGAAGGCAGCCCAATATGCCAGGGAAAGAGTGGTCTTTGGCAGACCGATCGGAAAGAATCAGGCCATTGCACACCCTCTGGCAGATGCATACATGGGTTTGGAAGCGGCGAAGCTGGCAGCTTATCACGCGGCAAAGCTTTATGATCGAAGCAAAACCGATCCCAGCATTACTCCGCACGCAGTAGGAGTGGCATGCAACAGTGCCAAATACGTGGCGGCCGAAGCTGCGTTCAAGGCGTGTGAGAGAGCAGTAATGACCCACGGCGGAATGGGTTATGCAATGGAGTATGATGTCGAACGATATCTGAGAGAGTGTCTGGTTCCAAGGATTGCGCCAGTCAGTCGCGAAATGATTTTGAACTTTGTGAGCGAAAAGGTGCTGGAGCTTCCAAGGAGTTATTGATGGAAATATATGCACTCAGTTGGCTCGAATTGCAGTGTTCGAAGTACAAGTCAGAAGCAGTATGAAGGTGAGGACGAAGGCTTCAAAGGCAGAGCACGCAGACGTGGATTTCCGGTATTTGTACAGGTACTCGTACTCTGTACTTTGTCCTCTCATGACCCTGTCCTCCATAGAATTTTCCACACCCACTTTCCCCGCACCGCAAGGTATTCGATTTCCAAGTGCGATGTCTTTCACTCGCCGCAGTGTCTCGCAACACAGCGCTCATCAAGCCGACTGGTCCGTATATCTATTCCACAATGGCACGGATAGAAGAACTCCCGGATGACTTCGATGAGAATATCAATCTCAACAATGCGCCGGAAGCGCCTTCGATTGAAGAGCTGTACAACCAGCACATCGCCGGGGCCGGACCCGAACCAAACCAGATCTCCTCCAAAAGCTTTGAGGAAATAGTGCAGGACATGAGCAAGACACCACTTTTCATGAACAGTCTCGACGAAGCAACTGAGGGTACGCCATGAACCACAAGTGCTCGGGTCCTTGGCTGAGCAAGGGTGTGCAGATGGAGAGAATATCATGCTTGAAGCGATCAAGGCTCTCCAGCACGAGGGTACCAAAGCGGAAGTGGCACAGGGTTTCAAAGAGCGTGGAAATGAAATGGTGGCCGAGAAGAAATGGAGTGACGCCAGAGAGTTCTACACCAAAGGGCTCGCAGTACTAGCTGACAAGAGCGAGGACAAATGGGACAAGCCTGAAGATCAGACTACCGAAGAAAACCAGCGGACTCTGCTTACCGAGCAACTTCACATCAATCGAGCTCGTTGCAATTTGGAGCTGAGTATGCCGCATGGTTCGTCCTGAACGAGGGGGGTGCTGACCTTGTAGAAAACTACCGATCAACAACAATGGACTGCGCAGCCGCACTCCGCATCAATCCCTCCAATATCAAGGCATATTACCGGTCGGCGTCTGCGCTTCTCGCCCTGGACAAAGTGCTCGATGCACTGGATGTGGCTTCACGAGGTAGCAAGCTCGACCCTGCGAACGTGGCGCTGAAGAAGCTGTTGGACCAGATCAGAGCAAGAGCCCAGGTGAAAGAAGCACAAGACCGCCGTCGCCTTGCAGAACTGAAGACCAAACGACAAGAGATGCAGGTGTTGGAGGCGGCTCTCAAAGCACGAAAGATCTTCGTCCGTGGCTCAAAACAGCCGCCAAACCTAGAAGATGCGAGTATTCGGCTTTCTCCAGATCCATTGTCGCCGACCAGCTTGTTGGAATTCCCCGTCATGTTGCTCTATCCCATGCATAATCAGACAGACTTGATCAAAGCCTGGGCGGAGAAAGATGCCATCACCCATCATCTCAGCTACATTCTGCCCCTCCCATGGGATACCAAGAATGAATACAAACAGTCCACGGTGGATTGCTACATGGATACCATCAGCGGAGGCCTGGTGAAGGTCGGCAAGAAACTGACGTTGCTGGATGCACTGTCAAATGGCAAGACCGAGGTGGTGGACGGCCTGGTCAGGATATACGTGGTGCCTTCGTCGCGAGCGCCCCAATGGTTAGAAGAGGTGAAGAAGAAAAAGGGCAAATAGGCCCAGCTTGTGTAAAGGGAGAGTGCTGATGGAATCTGTGATGCCGCAAGGATGAGTCCCTCGTACGGAGTGGTCTAATCGCAGCTCTAGGTACTCGTACGCTGATCTCCAAGTCATGCAATAATCATTCGTACCTGATCCATAGCCAGAGCCGGTTCATTCCTCACTTTGCTCATCCCTCTCACTGTTACGAGTACACTCAAGCAATCCACGCGGCATCGACCAGTCACCAGCGTGCATCAACCTCCTGTCATCTTTCTTTCCCAGCAATTGACCCCTGCTAGCGCCCCTCTTTGCCACGAGCCGACTGATCCCTGGTGTCAAATTTTAGCTTTGTTTTGGCGCGAGGTCGGCGTCGGTTGGCGGACCGCTTCATGCACCAGCGCCACTCATCCTGGTCAAAACGCAGCACACCGCATCACCCCGAGTTTGCTTCAAGGCTACGCTACGCTTCCCATCTTCACGAGAGCCCTTTAGCTGGCTTCACCACCCAATCAAATCGGCGGGTCCATTTCCAGAACAGCCATGAACAACCCCGCCCCGCACATGTACGGTTCCCAGAACGCAGGTCCATACGTTTTCAGCGGTTCCCAACCGAGTGCTATCCCTCCCGGAACAGCCTTTGACCATGCCCAGGCTCCATTCCAGCCAGGCCTGCCCCCGAACCATACTCAGAGGCCCATATCCCACCATCAGCAGCCTCAGCAACCCACCCTGCAGCATCTGTACCAGCAACAGCAAGGGCACGTAGGCGCAAGCTCACGTCCGCAAAGCAGGTCCAGCTATAGCCCGCAAGCGCAAGGTTTGTCACCCTCCTATGCGCACATATGACTATCCATGTCGACGCTGTCTTATCAGAGCTAGACTGTAAAGTTGCTGGGATGCTCACAATCTGGCAGGTCGTTCGTCCAACGGGCCTACACCTACTCCGCTAAGTCAAGGGACTCCCCCGAACTCCAGTCACAGCCAGCATCAGATCGCGCTGGCCTCAGCTCAGACGTTGCCGCCTATGTCGGCGCTATCAGAGATGAACATGGCAACCAATATGGCGTTGCAAGGGCAGCCAAATCCTACTCTGGCGCAACAGGCTCAGATACAGAATGCAGCGCAAGCGACCCGAGCTGCCGCGCAACCCCAACAACCGACACGGCAAGCAGGAGCCAACGGCGCAGCCTCACCGTTATCGGCCGCGAGAGAGAGAGCGCGGGTGACTGTGTTGCTTGAGATCAATACACATCTGCTACAGGAGGTGGTCTCGTTACAAGCGCAGGGGAAGGCAGGCATTACACCCAACCAAGGACAACAGTCGCCGACGTCACCTACATCAGCAACGGATCCGGCGAACGCGGTCACCAATAGCCCAGGAGACCCGCCAAAATCCGCGGGCGGGACACCTCAGACTGCGAAGCCACCGTCACAGGAGTATGCGGAATGTATGCGGCGGCTTCAAGCCAATTTGTCGTACTTGGCTGCAATCGCTGATGCGAAGAAGAAGGTCAATGGTGCTTTACCTGCGGGACCGGCGATAATGATACCACCGCCCCATCTGCCACAGGTGGCCGAGCTGTATAAGAAGTTGAATGCTTTATTCCCTGATGCGGCCCAGTCGAGCATAAACAAAGCTATGGCTCAAGCGCAAAGCCAAAATGCGACTTCGAAAGCACATCACGCGCTTTCGACTCAAGCTCCGACGCAGGGCTGAAGAGGGTGTATACTTGGACACGAGCATACAGTTCATCCGGTGGGACACAGCTAAGGATCTCGATCCAAGCGCCATTGTCGATAACCACCATAACGACTGGCCGACACTGTGATAGCCTCGACCAGGTAACATCAAGGCCCTGCAACCAAGAAGACCGCCACACATGGCCTCCAGCTTGCGATAGGATGGCAACGCCTCAAACATACGCGTGGGGACAAATGATAAACACAAGCCCGTGGCACAACGCGCGGTCCATACACATCCACGAGTCTCACCGGAATGGTCTCATTCTGGACAGTTTCGAGCGAGGGGCCTTGGAGCTGGACGAACCGGGGTATGCAAATATTGTGACGCCTAGTGCTGTCAAAGTTGTCCGTGGAGATTGCACGATGGCAGGATCCGTGGGCCTGCGGGAACCCGGTGCTTTATGAAAATGTAGGAAGAGTGCGGGGGAAACCACGATTTGGACGTCGACTAGGCCGTTAAGGTCCGAAGCCGGAAACCTTGGGTCTCAGTACGGAGTATGGCTATGTTTGAACCGGGCGCAGCACTGAAGATTTATGGGCTGAACTCCCGAAACTGTAGAGTAGAAGTCTTGCGTTCGCAACGGCGAGCCACCTTTTTCAAAGCACCGACCAATGCTTCAAGTCAACTGCAAGTGCCTTAGCAAGTCTGTCAGCAAAACAGCAGGAGATGATCGAAACTTGCAAGCGGAAGATATGTCATATTGTGTCGGAAGACTGCCAAGAGATGAAGGGTGACGGGATGGGTTCCGTACTTACTGCACTCCGTAGTTATGTACTTCGCAGCCGACGCCCAAGGCGTCTACGCAGGTTCAGCGAAGCGCAGCTCAGCCTCGTCGACATCAGGTCTACGAGCAAAGGCGCAGGTAATTGTTGCCTTCAGTCACATCTAATCCTTTGTTGCCATTGTTTGCTTTTTTCTGGATGATACTCAGTATCTGCCCCGGACTCAACAGGGCATCTTCAACTCATACATATTCTTTTAATCGTTCAATTTTCGAACCTCCTGGTTTCAGATCCCTCCTACGCGCCCTTTGCGCAAGAGATTTCTCGAGACGGTCATTACGACTTGGTCGCTTTCAGCCTCTCTTGACCGCGTCGCTAGCTCTCGATACAGCTGCAAGCTCCCGATCTGCATCCTCCCTTCTGCACGTTCGCTCCCATCTCGCTCCATCCCGCCCTCCTCAGCCTCGAGGCTTCTCGAGCAGTTCGTCTCCCGCCATGTCGGCAAATGGCGAACTTCGACTCAAGCGAAGAACGAGCCCAGGATCAGCTCTAGAAAGACCCAAGAAGCAGCTGAAACAGGAAAACGGTGTACCTACGCCCGGCGACGCGACGCCTCAGAATGGGTCTGTGTACGACATCGAGGCCGACTCGAACTCGATTCCAATCATCAACACTGTACCCACCGCGGGAGACTCTCCCGAGTGGCAGGCTACCATTGAAAGAGTGATCAAGAGTGTGGTGTCGATCCACTTCTGCCAGACATGCTCGTTTGACACCGACCTTTCACTGTCGTCTCAAGCGACCGGGTTTGTGGTGGATGCCGAGAATGGCTACATCATGACCAATCGCCACGTCGTGTGCGCCGGTCCGTTCTGGGGCTACTGTGTGTTTGATAACCACGAGGAAGTGGGTTGCTCTCATTTGCAGACCGGGTCGTTGTGACGTTTTGCTGACATGGATGTAGTGCGACGTAAGACCTGTCTACCGCGACCCTGTTCACGATTTTGGGATTCTGCAGTTCGACCCGAAAGCCATCAAGTACATGCAGGTTCAGGCGTTGAAGCTGCAGCCGGAATCTGCAAGGGTTGGTGTGGAAGTCAGGGTAGTCGGCAACGATGCCGGTGAAAAGCTCAGTATCTTGTCTGGAGTGATCAGTCGACTGGACCGCAATGCTCCTGAATACGGTGAAGGCTACAGTGATTTCAACACAAACTACATTCAAGCTGCAGCTGCAGCGACTGGTGGAAGCTCAGGGAGTCCCGTTGTCAACCTGAGTGGAAATGCGGTTGCTCTGCAGGCTGGGGGCCGTGTTGATGGCGCTGCTACCGACTACTTTCTCCCTCTTGACCGGCCATCACGTGCTTTACAATGTCTTCAACAGGGACTGCCCATCACGCGAGGCACGATCCAGACTCAATGGATGTTAAAGCCTTTCGACGACTGCCGAAGATTAGGCCTCACGCCTGATTGGGAGTCAGCTGTTCGAAAAGCCCATCCAAATGAGAACAGTATGCTTGTTGCCGAGATTGTGCTACCCGAAGGTCCTGCGGATAACAAGATCCAAGAAGGAGATGTCTTGATCAAGGTCAATGGCAAATTGTTGACGTCCTTTGTTGAACTCGACGATATTCTCGACTCCAGCGTCGGGGGAAAGGTTGACCTGCTCTTTCAGCGTGGCGGAGAGGATCACGAGGTCACACTCAATGTGGGAGATTTGCATGCAATCACCCCGGATCGATTTGTCACCGTGGCTGGCGGTAGCTTTCACAATCTGTCCTATCAACAAGCTCGATTGTATGCCATTGCCTGTAAAGGGCTGTACGTGTGCGAGGCTGCCGGTTCCTTCAAGATGGACAATGCTCTCTCGGGATGGATCATCGACACGGTCGACCAGAAGCCTACACCAGATCTCGACACCTTCATCGAAGTGATGAAAACTATTCCCGATCGGTCCCGTATTGTCATCTCCTACCGGCACATCAGAGATCTCCATACGCGAGCAACTACCATTGTTCACATCGATCGGCATTGGCATCCGAAGATGAGGTTGTCCACGAGGAATGACCAGACGGGACTGTGGGACTTCACGAATCTTGGAAAGGCACTGCCTGCAGTTCCGCAGGTCGCAAAGTCGGCAGATTTTATCCAGCTCGATGGCGTCAACTTGCCAGCCGCGGCTGACATCGTCCGCTCGTTTGTCAAGGTCTCATGTTATATGCCGGTCAAGATCGATGGGTATCCTCAAGCTCGTAGGACGGGTTTTGGACTGGTGATTGATGCGCAAAAAGGCCTGGTGGTGGTTTCTCGAGCGACTGTTCCGTACGACCTTTGTGACATTACGGTGACTGTCGCCGACTCGATCCAAACAGAGGGCAAGGTTGTATTCCTCCACCCACTGACGAATTACACCATCATACAATACGATCCGTCCTTGGTCCACGCACCAGTGCAGACCGCCAAGTTGTCCACCGAGATGATCAAGCAAGGTGCAGACACGATTTTCGTGGGCTTCAACCAGAACCACCGGATTGTAGTGGCCAAGACCACGGTTACAGACATTACGGCGGTGGGCATCCCTGCTAATGCAGCAGCTCCTCGCTACCGCGCTGTCAATCTCGACGCTATTACGGTTGACACAGGGTTGTCTTCCCAGTGTTCATCGGGCGTCCTCATCGGTGCCGATGGCGTGGTGCAAGCTTTGTGGTTGACATACATGGGCGAACGGAGCCAAGGCAGTCACAGGGATACAGAGTATCATCTCGGTCTCGCGACGAGCATGATCAAGCCGGTGGTGGACCAGATACGCTCGGGTACCATACCCAAGCTTCGAATATTGAACATGGAGTCGTATGTGGTGCAGATGGCCCAATGCCGGATTATGGGTGTCTCGGAAGAATGGATCTCAAAGGTGGCCAAGGCCAACCCAGCGCGGCACCAGTTGTTCATTGTCAGGAAAGTGGACTGTGGTCCGGCGAACGGACCCAGCGACGGACAACTGCTCCAGGAGGGTGATATTATCCTCACGCTGAATGACCAACTCATCACTCGAGTCAGTGACTTCGATATCATGTACGACAAGGCATGGCTGGATGCCTTGGTTGTCCGGAAGGGCGAAGAAATCCGACTTCGAGTTCCAACCGTACCAACGGAAGACCTGGAGACGTCAAGAGCTGTGGTCTTTTGCGGCGCCGTTTTACAGAAGCCTCACCACGCTGTTCGTCAGCAGATCAGCAAGCTCCATTCGGAGATCTATGTGAGTGCCCGGAGTCGGGGATCCCCAGCCTACCAATATGGACTGGCGCCGACCAACTTCGTGACTCATGTCAATGGAATTAAAACCCCGGATCTGGATGCGTTCGTGAAGGAAGTGAGTAAGATTGAGGACAACACATATTTCCGCCTCCGAGCAATGACGTTTGATAACGTGCCGTGGGTGGTGACGATGAAGAAGAACGATCATTATGTAAGTCTCTGTGGAAAGAGGAGATGGCTTATTTGCTGACACAGGCAGTTCCCCATGTCTGAATACCTCAAAGACCCTTCCAAGCCCAACGGTTGGAAGGTCATCTCCTATGGGTCGAAGGGCACCAAAACCAAGGGTGAAGAAGGGGCTCCCATAACTGCGGATGCGATGAGTGCTGAAGATGATGGCATGAGCGAAGGTGAAGAAGCTCCAGAGGATGTTACCATTAGATCAAGGCTCTGAAGGACGGCGACAGTAGAAGCCAAGGGTTGTCAGAGACCACTGAGTACTGGTTACTTGTAGAAACAAACACAGCACAGACCTCGCAGTACGAGTACGATACGGAGTAGTGACTGTACTCCTGTGCGGGAATAGAAATGAGTCTGATAGTACAAACACATTTCCCTAATTGGCGAGGCGGAGAATATGCGATGATGCAACACCCCAGGCGCCGCACCAGCCGCCTTCACTTTCACATGTCAGAAACGAATCATCAGCCCCAGGTGACACCGGAATCATGTCTTCACCTACTGGGTCGAACAGGTGAGTTACCCAGCGCTCTGTACTCATAGATGTTTCAAGGTCTAAACAATCACAGAGACCATAGGTCCAGTCCAGGGATCCGTCAGTCACATTGCTGGAAGACATGCCAATGGGTAGGAAAAGAGGACCAAGTGTTCGGTATTGTGTGCAGAGGGTTCCGCCCTGGATGGTCGGACGAGAGCACGCGAGCACTTTCTGACAAACTAAGGGCCAGGAAACAATCTTCGGGAGAAATGAAGGTGAAAGAAGTGCGTGAGGCGAGGCAATGGCGTCAGAGCCAAAGCATTGGGGCATCATAGTTTCCTTGTGGTTCCAGTGATGCAGGCAGGGGGGAGCAGCCGATCAATCAGAGGCGCCAGAGGAGCCTAACGCCTGCTCCAAACAAGCCCAGCTCCGCACGCGTAGCAGGTTTGAGATCACACAAAAAGTGACGAGAGCCTGCACCGTCACCACCACCATCCGACGCACCTCGTTCTCTTCAAAATCCCATCGTGCCTGTGTCAAGACATCTCCTTTCTCAACTCAACAAATCCGCTGTCTGTCCTCACCCCTGACGTGTACACCTCGATTGCATTCGGTTACTCCCAGAGTGTTGGTGCGTTTCCTGTCTTTCAGCCGGTCACTCCTTTTCCCATTCCGAGTGATTCTGCCGTCCTCTCGCGCACAAATTACACCACGAGTTGGTTACTGATATCTTCAACCCTCCGGCAGATACTGATCATCGAAATGTCTACATTCGCCCACGACTCCGACTATGCTCCCCAGGGCGGGCTGAGTCCTGAGACAAAGCAAGCGAGCCAAAGCAACGGCGTCGAGCCGGCGAACTTGCAGCAGACCTTGGTCGATAGTGAGGTGAGCAATAGACAATCGTCACTCTTGGCTGCTCATGGGGAAATGGCTAACAACAAAAATAGACTTCAAGCTCCTTCTCCTGCTGCCTCCGCTGACGAGTCCCAGACGCTTCTGCCGCCGCCCAGACGATCCAGCAGCATCCAATCACACAGAATCTCGTGAATGGGTATGGCTTCAATATCCAGAGAACAAAACAGGTGTCGAACTGACACGTTGATCAGTCCTGTCGCTCAATCAGCAAGAAACGAGGCCGCCGCGACAAAGTCCGAGTTCAGCAATTTGGCCGGCTCGCGTTCAAAACCTGATTACACCGCCAGCAATGCAAGCCTCCCTGCCCTCCCAATGACCGAGGTTACCGGTCTTTGTGTGCGTCTCGAGACAGGCTAACATCAGCACAGGACACCGAACTCACTCACTATCATTCATTGTGAGTTCATTCCAGTTTCTTATATCGGTCTAAACAGGACTTCTTTGCTAATTGCCCTCAGCTTCTATACGCTTCTCAGTGTATGAAACTCCGTATCGCCCCGCACAAACACTCCTAACAGTCGATAGTGGAAGAACAAACGAGCCACTGGCATCACCTTTGCTTCCGCGATTGCCTTCATCTTCGCTGTCCGATACCTCCCCATCATCCGATATGTGATCAAGCTTACCTGGATGAGCCTTGGTGGTAAGTGGAGAGAAAATCACTACAGGGTACGTTTTTTAACGCGCGTCCAGTTGTCACCATTGCCGAAGCCTCGAGCAAAGCTCTCATGGGCTCTAGTGTGGCCAGCTCGCTCCGACCTCGAAGATACTACAAAATTCCAAAGGAAACTCTCGAAGCCTCCCTTGACGATCTCGAGAACCTCATCAATTTCTTCGTCATCGAGATCCAGCGCATTGTGTTTGCCGAGAATATACCAGTGACCGCGGTTGTAAGTGGACGTTCCTGGCCTGCCTCGGCGCGTTGCTGACAAAGTGCAGGCTTTCCTGACTGCATTCATAACCTACTACCTCATCAAGGTCGTCCCCTTCTGGGGCATGGCCTTGATCTCCACCTCCGTTATTTTCCTTGCCCCTTTGATCTATCTCGAGAACAAGGAGTTTATCGACGCCCAATTGGAGCATGCCAGCCACGTTATCGGTCAACAAACCACCCAGATCAAAGATCTTACTGCCCAGCACACAAGCAAGGGGCTTGAGTCTGTGAAGCAATACACAGGAACCGCGGCGGCAAAGGCTCAAGATTTGGTTGGAACCGCCCGCCAGAAGATCCCGTCTCCTACCACTGGCAAAGCTCCGATCAAGGAGAATGACTTCCCGTCTGCGCCGCAGACCGATCTTCCCGACACCAATGCCGACGTTCTTCAGCGCGAGACCGAACCCGTCCCTGCCTCTTAAAGGGCCAGCAGAAAGTAGCTGCATGACGTGATGATTGCTTCACGGTGTAAGCGATGGTATTGAGGGAGCGTGCGAGTGGTGGAGATTGCGAAGACGAGAAGAAGCGACTGAAGGACGAAATGAGACAACAACGAACGCAGATGAAGTTCCTCCGACTTGGGCACTTCTGTACTCTTACACAACAAACAGCTGGTAGCTTCGGGAACTCCGACAACTAGCAATCCTTTCGGGGTTCATGGTAGCAGATTGTGTGTGTGTGCACGCCAGCCTCTGGGCGACAGGCATAGAACACGATTGGCGTCTCTTAAGGCTTATTGTACCGTATGATAGAAGGCAGGTATGATATCGGAGTGTTAGGCACGAATAAGCATGCTTTGCGGTTGATGTGATGAGTTTTCCTGACCATATTCGTGAAGATTTCTGCTTGTCATGTCAAGACCTCCACTAGCCGGAGAATCGGAACTCTTCCGGACATGAATGGACCATCTTTTCAGCCAGTGTGTGTGCCTGTGATGTTTGTCTCAGCTTGGTGAATAGAGTAGTGGTGGTATACAGTAGGACTATCTTGTCTGTGCTGGTGATTATCTAAGGGGTACGAGTAAATGCCCAGCCACTGTAGGCTCGAGCGGTCAATGTTAACCAAGGGAGCTTGAGGACAACAGGCAGGAGCATGGTCCACGGTAGTCTTCCAGCTTTGGCTACGTTGTCTACAGTACGGAGTACTAAGAAGACATGGCACATGGTATAGCTATAGGAGGAGTATAAGTTAGTAGTCTTCCAGCTTTGGCTAGGTTGTCTACAGTACTAAGTACTGAGATATAGTATGGCATAGTGTTGCTACAGGAGGAGTATAGTAGGTAGTCTTCCAGCTCTAATTATATTGTTTACTGTACTGAGTAACGGCATGGCATGGCATGGCATGGCGTGGCTGGAGGCGAGCAACGTCAACCTCACCGGGCCTTGCTGGTGGCGTCGATTCCAGATGACTTACTGTACGAGTAGGGAAACACTGGTCTGCCTGGCCTTGGTGTGGTCTGACCTGACCTGCTCTGGCAGGTTGCACTCAAGTCTGTGATATGGTGCGATTTGATGTGATTTTGATGTGATGTGATGTGATGCAGTAAGTCACGTCTCCTTACTCCTTTCACCGCGATTATATCTACAGTGTACAGCACTCCGTACAGCACCGATGCTCCATACTGAACTCAATCAATTCAACCGATCCGAAACCCCCCCCCAGGTATGTAGGGTTAGCTCCGCCATCTGCGGGTGAGTCTTCACTTCTCCGTTGCTTGGCCTCTTATGGCGATGCTCGAACTTCCTTACACAGGACATCTCAGGTCTCCCTACCACCACCTACAGTACCTACCTACATAGGCACGTGTACTGTGTTCCAACAAACGATCCACTTGTGCCTTTTTATTTTTTGGCTCCTCTGCCCTGCTGTCGTGGCCTTCTTCCTCCGCATAAGGGGCAATTGGCTTTCTTTTGGCTTCACAGACGAGGCTGGTGGCGGGCCGGTTACAGCCTGGCCCTCTCCCTATCATCCTTGACGACGACGCCTTTCTTCCCGCTCTTGGCCATATCCCGCAAGACTCGTCTCAAAATCTTGCCACTTGGAGACTTGGGGATCTCTTCCACAAGCTCAATCTCCGTGATCCACTTGTGCCTGACCTTCTTCTCCTGCACATATTTGATGAGTTTCTTCCCCATGGCTTGAGGGTCGTCAGAGCGTTTGGAAGGTTTCAGCACGACGTAGGCCTTGGGCCGTTCGCCGGCGTAATCATCCGAGATGCCCAGTACGGCAACGTCCTCGACGTCTTCGTGACCCAAGAGGAGATCTTCCAGCTCGGCGGGCGCCACACCGATACCCTTGACTTTGATCATTTCCTTCAGCCGGTCGGTGATGGTGATGAGGCCTTCTTCATCGATGCTGCCGATGTCGCCGGTGTGCAAAAATCCATCTTTATCAAACGTCTCGCGTGTGGCTTTGGGGTTGTTCAGGTATCCCATCACCACCTGCGGGCCCCGTGCCCAGATCTCGCCGGGCTCGTGGAGTCCACATTCTCGTCCGGTGTCCGGGTCGACGATCTTGACTTCCGTGGACGCGACGATGGTGCCGACGCGGAAGGCATACTTGTAGTCGTACTTCTCGGGCGGGTGAGCCGTGATGCAGGAGCAGGACTCTGTCATGCCGTAACCCTGTTTGAAGCCCGTCCCTGGGAAGCGTTTCTTGAGAAGCTCGAGTATTTCGGCAGAGAGCGGTGCTGCGCCCGAGGAGAAGCGCTTCACGGAAGACAAGTCGTACTTGGCGAGTGTCTTCTCGTCGCGGACCAGGCGGATCAAGATCGGAGGTACGAGGAGCATTTCCTCCAATTTATAGTCTTGGACGGTCTGCAGCATGCCATCCATGGTGAAGGATGGGAGCATGTAGACATTGGCGTTAAGCAGGACTGGTAGGTGCATCTGGTGTACGAGCCCCGTAATGTGGAACAGTGGCAGCACGGCCAGGATCCGTCGTAATGTGTCGGGCGAGATTTGCCGAATCTGGAGACATTGGGCGATGACGTTCGAGTGTGCGATCATGACTGCTTTCGGCAGACCAGTCGTTCCGGAGCTGAAGGAGAGAAACCCGCAGACATCCTTGTTCTTCTTGCCGTAAGGGAGGCGGAACTGTTCGATTTGTCCGTTGTCCCCGTGCTTCCTGCCCAACTCGAGCAATTGGCTCATTGTCGTGAACCCTTCCAGTGTGCCCTCGAGCAGGAACACGTTACTTTGCGGGATTCCTGCATTCTTTGCCGCCGCTGCCGCAATCTGCATGCTGCTTGGAACGGTGAAGAGGAATTTCGCCTCTGCAGTCTTCAACGCATATGTCATTTCTTCGACGTTGTATGCTGGGCTTGCACCGCTGACGACGCCTCCGGCCCGTAGAATGCCGAACATGGCACAAGGGTACCATACTGTGTTCGGGGAGAAGAGGGCGACTGTCTGGCCTTGCAGGAGGCCGTAGTTCTTGACGAGCGCGGTCGAGAGGTGTGTCGAATGCGCTTTCAGGTCGATGTAGCTCAGGTGCTCTTTGGTAACAGCATTTGTGAAGCCTTTGATGTCTTCTGGCTTGTGATGTCTCATAGGACTGTACTCGGAATCAAAGAGCCATGTCCACACCGGGAGATGCCATGGCATCTCAATGGGCGGCTGCAGGGACTTGAAGATTGGCATTGTGACGACCTTCTTCGCTTGGGAAGCTCCAGGAGAAACCCCAATCTAACCTGGACCGTGGACAGGGAGGTAGGTAGGCGCAGAGCAGAGCTGGATAGGGCGTTCGACCGAGCGAGATCACACTGAAAAGACGTTCAAGTCAGCGTGACAAGTCAAACACCCATTTCAGTGGAACTTTGGTGCAGAGAACATGTCAGAAACACACGACTCGAGCTCCCGTTTTCATCGCAGCACCCGAAGCTGCAGGAACAGCCTCGGTGGACCAGAACTGGGCCAGGTCCTTCTTCATCTCTCCAGCCAGAGCAAATCCTCGGCTATTGTCGTGGTGCGGAGAAAGACGAACAGGACCATACATGATGGGGTGGCTCGGTGGGCGGAAGATGAGGCTGGAGGGCGGGGTGGAGTGGGGACAAGCACGTGAGCTATCACGTGACTAGCGACCCGCTCTGCTGTGACTGGGAAGGTTACCCGAGGGTTGGCCAGACAACACCAAGGACCGTAGACTTCCTGTGTAAAGTAACCGTAGTGTTTATGTAGGCCTCAGTTCCTAGTAGTCAGGTCTGCCCCAGACCCCTCTGAATTCATCATGTCCTCCGAAAGAATCGACACTGCTGATCCTCCAATTTCTCTCAGGCGGGTTGAGTATGGCGGCTACGAGGGGACCGACCAGTCCAGAACGTTCTGTTGGAGGGTCTGCCGAGAAATTATTTCCGGTGTGGTGAACTACTGTGGACAGTCTACCTAGAATGGCAATAGCAGGGAAGACTGAAGGCTTCGCTGTTGGAGCTGCTGCTGTGTTTGGCTCCTTCGGGAAGGCTGATGCCAGATGCAGTAATGCTGTAGCTACGCCGTATGCACCGTATGAGCCGTCAACGGGTGAGACTGACTACCTACCTTGGCATTGCATGCTTGCAGGTGGCTTCCAACAACGTGCCAGACGAGTTCCTACTTGAAATGACAGTAAAGTAACTAGAACCTCGAGCACCACAGGGTGACCGCTGTGGCCCCTTATACTTGAAACATATAACTATACTTCGAGTCCTGTAGAGACAATATATTAAGGGTTACCTAATACCTTGGAATCTATGGCTAGAATCATGTTCTGCCTATCTAATTAGGTCGTCCCAAACATTCCGGCAGTAATGCTCCCAAGAGTCTAGGTACCCGTGTACAAGCCCTTGGTCTGCACCGCAACATTCAGCAACGTCCTCTTCAGCTCGGTGTCGGTCAGCTTGTCGACGAACCTGAGCCCAGTGTCCTGCTCCTGTTCGACACACAGTGCGTCCACGAATGTGAAGATATTCAAGCAGTGATTCTCCCCCCGCAGCTGTCTGATGCAGGCGGTGACTTGTGGATCGCTCCAAGTGCCACCGTTATAGTCGTTGCCATCAGTCTGGATATTTCTCACGGCTTCATCAAGTGCAGTCAAGGCGGTCTGCAAATAGTCGTTGCCTTCGGGGATGGCGCTGGCATTGGCACCGGTAAGCCGTTGCAGGAACATGATCAGGTTTTCGTACATCGTGTCGTCAATCCCGATGTTGATGTCCTCCGACATGTATTGGATCTCGTCTGGGAATTGGGATACATCAAACCACATATCATAGGTTCCCATGTCGGCGAATTGTGGTTCACGGGGTTTGGCTCAAAAGGTACCGGGTCGATACGTCTTGGGTCGATACGTCTTGGGTCGATACGTCTTGGATCTCTGTGAGGCGATCTGACTTTGAAGATGACGGATGGATGGCTGGAACAAAGGTCGGATCTTATATCTACCAGTGATGTACTGGCTAGAAGCTTGGAGAGAATGGGCGCAGCGTCTCCTGCGTATCCCTGCCACGATTCCGGTGCCCGTCTCGACCGACCACTCGCTTTGGCAATATCAGAAATAGTATTACTCAAACCCGGGAATTTTGGAAACACGCCATGCCTGCCACCGACTCTTGACTTGTCGTTCCGTGTTAGATCGAGTCCCTTGCAAGCCCAGGGAAGCCTCCCAACCTCTTAGCGTCACCAATCCTGGAGCACGGCTGCTCGTCTAACGGGGGAAATGCTAGACTGAATACGACGTGTCCAACGTCCGCCACCAATGATATTATGACCCACGGGGTCCGCTTTCAAGGCTTCTGCCCTCATATCGAACAGCTTGAAGCTTCATGGGTCGCTTTCCTTGCTCGACTGCCAAGGCTGCAGTCCCCGAAATGCTGATGCAGTTGTCTCCAAACCCGGCTATCCTGGGAGTCTAGTTGCATCGCCACGTGCCGAAGCGCCAGCCGCAATGGCATCGGCGAGAGAGACAGGTTTGGTCTCGAGGCGGCGTTGACTGTATCGTTTGACCGTATCCCGAAGATTGCTTAATATATCCTGGTGTTGCAGCAGAATTCTGTGCAGTTGGCCCTCGGCGCTCAAGAGCTGCTGGAAGTGGATTGCACCGCCGCCTCCCGAGTGGTCAGATAGGAGTATCGGACTTGGTCTGTTTCTTGACGTCGGCTTGCTTGTCCACCTTGATAGAGCCATCCGGCTAGAGTAAACCCTGTCTATAAGGATTCCGTGTAGAAGATTGTGTTGCAGGAGTGTTCTTAGGGCACCTGCGGAAACTGGGAAATCTGTAAGTATGGGAGATGAAAGGAGAATCCGACTCCGTTACGGTCAGGCATCAGAAAGGTCTGACTGACATATTTGGTGGTATCTGTATTCGCAGGTCTTGGGAAACTACCTCGATGGCCACTGTAGATCGTGATAATGTCTTCGTATCCTTGCGAAAGTGCCACAGACACCCACACCCGATATCCAGGGTCTACCGTAATTAGGGCTCAAACAGTTGGGTCGAGGAACGGAAGCGATCTTCTTGGTAAGGACAAGCCAGTGCACTTGTACCTTGATTTCATCCTAGCATCGCACATAACCCCCTCGTGCAACGTCGATAGGTCCATCCCATCCTTGCCCAGCTCTCTTGATCATCTGGCTGCATCGGCATGCTTGACCTGACCAACCGGAAATGTCATTGGAGCTTCACAGGAACGCTAGCCAGATCAAGCACGAGACTCGGACGTCTTCACACTTGGGTAAGATGCCAAGAGACCGTGTCGGAAGACGAGTGTGCCGTGATGAACATGCTGGCCTCTCTCCCTGAATAATGCTCTGCACCAAGTGCTACCAAGCACAGGTGAGAAAAGTCAGGAAGCACCAAAGAAAGATTGCTTGGCAATGTTGGGCGACATTGGATGACTGGAACCCACGAGCAACTGCTGAGCTCGCTGTCAAAAAGTGTTGGAAGTCGTACACACGACCACCTATCGCCCGACGTCCCTCCACTGATAGGGTATTATTGGAAGGTGGTTTGGGTGGGAGTGATACAGTCCCCCAGCTGCGCCATGATCACCTCTTACTCCTCCTCTCCTCGTCCCTCTTCTGTCTCTTTCTCGCCTCGGTGGCGATCATGTCGGACAAGTCTTCCTGGAAATCCCAGTTTGGATTCTGCTCGGCTTTCCGACTTTGATCGTAAGCGCGTCGCAAATCATCTTTGTCCAACCCGTCACGCGCCGCCAGCACGTCTGGGTTCATCGAAACATCCACATCCCCTGGCTTCTTACGTTTGCGGGAATCTTCCTGTCCTAGAACCGGCAGACTGCCTGCACTTTGCTGCTGAGCGGCTTTGATGTCGTAGACACGGTCGCCACCAAAGAATCCCTCGACGCGCGTTTGGCGTTCCGGGATAACTTGATATGCCGATCTGGGATGTGATGGTTCTTCCGTCTCTGTGCCACGGCGCTTTCTCAGGTCAAATTCAGACACGGTCTCTGTACTACCGATCTCTGTTGGCACAGCCGATGTCATGCCACTAGGCGTTTCCAGACCAGCCGAGGTTTCAATGCCAGCTCCACCATCTTCTTCGTCTTCCTCCTCGTCTTCCTCTTCATCTTCCTCTTCAGACTCGTCTTGTTGTTGCAGCTCACCCCAAAGTTCCTTTTCGACCGGCTCTCCCTGCTGTGCGTTCTGTTGTTGCTGTAGCACACCGAAGATATCGCCACCGTATAGGGGTCTATTTGTGGCTTCTTCAACCGGCGGCTTGCCCCACTGTCCGGGGGCGAAACCCCAACTTGCACCTGGCGGAGGAGGAGCGTTCACACCGGGTACTTTCAAAGCTGGATAGGAGGGTGGTGGTCCGTATCTTTGCATATTGATTAGCCATGGAGGCGGCGCGCCTGGAGGCATGTTCAGAGCTTCCTTCAACTCATCTGATAACTCGCCAGGTCTCAGGTGTCGTAGATTGGTTTCAAACTCTTTACCTTCATAGTAGACCTCGCCATATCTTGTCAGTTCGGGCTTCGTCTGGAATTTGAAAAACGCATCGTAGAGTTTCTGATAGTCGATATCAAGCTTGCCCGTCTTGCCCTGTACTCTCTCTCGTTGTCTTTGCTTCAAGGTGGCCTCGGCTTGCTTCTCTAGCACAGCATCACGCATTTCCGCGATACCGGTCTCTTGTATAAATTTTGGAAGTGCAAAAGGCGGCTTCTCAATCCCCCGTTTGGACGACAGGTATTCTCTCTTGAGAGACCAATGAGTCGGCACCGGCACAACATTGCGATATGACTTCATGTGGACGAGAAGCCTCGCGTCTGGGGCAGATGTATCTGTCCACTCGACCATTTCCGGCTTTTTCACGATCGCCTTCAATTCCGCGACGGATAACTTGGTCATCTCTTTCCGTTTCTTCTTGGAGATTTTGGGCGCTGAATTCTCTCCCTCCTCGTCTGGGATGTCGTCGTCGTCGTCGTAGTACACTTCCGGCTTCTCGGGTTGTTTCAGCGCAGGATCTTCCTTGTTCGCTTCCTCGAATCTGCCCATAATATCCTTGTACATGTTGTACAGCGGGTTTTCCTCGTCGGCAATGAGAGGTTCTGCAAGAGTGTCGCTATTGGGCGCGTCATTCTCTGACTTGATTCTTTGCCCATTTGTTTTCGCAGGCGATTGCTGTGTCGGCTGTGGATCTGGTGCTGGGATCTCGTCTTTCGTAGGGGCGTCGGCAGACGCAGCGGTGTCTCCCTGGACGCGGTGAGTAGCGGACAAAACTGTGGCCGAGGACGATCGCACCTTGCCTTGCTGTTGCTTCTCAGCCTTCTTCTTCGCTCGTCTCAGCTGGTTTTTACTCGGCTTCACAGCGGCAGCCATAGCGAATTGATATGTACTAATGGGGGCACTTCTTTGCCAGCAGATGCGCACTGATGAGCAAGGGATATCTGTACTGCGGCGGTGAGCTGGCGTGTAGGAAGGCTATAGCGACGCCAGGCAATCAATGTTGTGAAGTTATTGGAACTCCGTACAGCGGCGCCGAAGAGACGGAAGCTGCAGCCTCGTCATCTTGTGCCAAGCCTCGGCAGGAATTTTCCGGCGAGGCTTTGCCTCACGTGCCTCAGTACTTATCAGACCCATTCGGCTGTCCTGCCGGTTCGAGAAATGCTAATCGACGCTAACCTAGTTGGTGCGTGAAGCGTCTACCTACTTTCACTACTCCGTACATTGTGCCAAAATGAGGCTGAGTTTCTGAGACAAGGCGAGGCTGTGGCTACACCACCTTCGGTGCCCCCAAACTTACAAGAAACAACACTTCTTCCAGTAGATGGCCATGCGCAAACTACGGGAGGAGATCTTGCTCACAACATTTGTGTGGAACGTTGTGGCCAAAGCGGCACCCTGCTCTAGCTTCTGGCTTATATATAGACTGTGTTTCACGCCAGCCTCAGGCATAGCTCCGATCGTGTATCATATGCCTATCAATAATGCAACATACAAATAACCATGACTAGCTGAGGAGCTTCCCACTCAGATCCGATACTCACGGCCTTTCAGACCAAAATAGCGAACGTTGTCCTCACGAGAGCAGACAAAGCACTGCGGACGAAAGCACCCTCCATCCCAAACACTGTAGTGCTTGAGGCCGAAGAATGGAGTGGAACTTCACGTCCCGCAATGATACCGGGGCATAATGAGACAGATCCGACCGTCTCTCGATCAAGCTGTTGACTTGCTCATCCACGCATCCACCAACTCCTCATCAACACATTCGTTCCTCTTGCTAACAATTTCCCTGTCCCATTCCAACCACTCTCCCGCCATGACATTACCTAACCTCGACCTCAAAACGCCAACACTCACATCAATGATATACGGCCTCTCGAAGCTCTGGTAGTACATGGTCGCACCACAGACTGTGCAAAAGCTTCTCAGCACGAACTCCGAAGACCGGTAATATCTCAGCATCTCGATTTGGAGTGTTTCCTCAGCTTTCGGACCAAAAACTACCGGTTCGTCGTTAACTGTGTGGATCTGGGATGGAGGGACATAAGCCCATGGTTGTAGTGTGAACCCTAAAGTGAGCCGGCATGAGCGGCAGCCACAGAGTCGCGCATAGTATTTGTTGCGGTCGCTCTTAGGGACGTACCACCCTTCACTAGACACCTCGTACGGCGGTGGTGCAATGCGCAGTTGACAGGCCCCACAATGGCAAGATACTTCGATTGCCGCACCTCTGTCTCTTGCTGCCGAGGCTGGTTGTTGCAGTGATGTCTCTCGCAACTGCTGGAGCTCGCTTTCCTTGAGAATTTCGGCAGCCTTCTCCTGTGGCTCGGTGTCGTAGCAAGGCACGTCGCGGTCACCCAGCTTTGTGAGAAACGGTGCAATTCCACCGTCTTTCGCGTCCCCGACATACTCGTGGAACAAGACCCTTGATACATTCTTTTGCGCGTTCGGTGGCCCCGTCATCCCTTCGGTCTGCTCCATTTCCACAACCCCTGAACAAGCGGCCCACCTGCCATCCCTGTCAGACCTTACAAAGACATTGCACCCGCACTTCTTACAGAAGAAGCGGGTATACTTCTCCGATGTCTTGTAAGCCGTAGCATTGCCCAGGGATTCCGCACTCGGCGAGGCTTTGAGGCTCACATACCATGCACCCAGAGAGCCTGTGGTATGGCGGCAGGTGTTGCAGTGGCAGATGTCGTTCTCGATTGGGAGCGTCTGGCTCGCGAGGAGCGTACCCTCTTCTTTAATGGAACCGCACAGGCATGTCAGATGGGATGGCGTCGCCATGGTCGTTCGCTCTGTTTTACAAAAGGAGACCAATCCACTGGTGTTCTTCCCACCAGTGCGATGTGGGAGATGCTTGTCTCGGTAGGAGAGCCCCCAACGTCAAGCTGGAAGCAAGTTGTGCGATTTCGTGACAAGAGCGAGAAAAAGAGATGTTTTAGAACCTTGTTTACCAATCGAGATTAGCTATACGCCTGCGATCGTCACCCCCACGATACTGTCGAAAGACAAACAGTCGACGTAGGTAGATAGGTTCACCCCAAGTGATGAAGGAGACTCGAGGCTTCGGAGACATGCCTTCGCAATGGGGGAGGAATGATGATGATGATTGGATGAGGCGTATATCTCCCATGCCTTGGCGATATCACGACGGTGATGATGACGCCCGCACAACCGACTAGGGCAGGGTTCTAGAGGACTAGCAGCGAGAATAGAACGATAGTTTTCCTAGTACCCATTGTTTGAGTGTGGCAGTCTGCTCTATCATTACAGAAATGGCTCTTGCATTTCAGGCCTTCCCTAACCTGATTTTGTATGGGTATCGTCCTCCGCAACCAACGCCAGTGCTATGTCGATTTTAGGCATGGAATGCCTGTGATGAAAGTCAAGAAATCAGCAATAACATGATCATAGAAGCACTGAAACCACCCTTCCGGTCCTCGCGACAAAGGAATGACGTCCACCTCCGCGTCTTCACGTGGACAAGATCGTCGCGTGTCGGTAAGAAAAGTACGAGGTCCATCGGTCGTTTCAGGCGTCAAGCCCATGAGTCTAGAGCCCCATGTGGACCGGTGACCTTGTTGGTAATCTTAAGCAGCAGGGAGATTCTTCTCATCGCCGAAGCCTTTATCCTGCTTGCCAAGCCAGCTCGGCTCGATGAGGTCCTTCCTCTTGAGATACAGGTGCTTGTAGGCATGCTTGATGGTGGCATCGCTGACGCTTGCAACTTCACTGATCTGCTTGGTGGATTTACCCAGACCAACGAGGTGACTAGCGAAATAGACACAAGCGGCGGCGTTAGACAAAGGGCTTCGGCCAGCGAGCTCTTTGATTTCGGGAATCTTCTGAGCAAGCTCCGCTGCAATCTTCCCCACCCTAAAGGGACCGCCTAGCATGTTGTTGTACCGTTCGCAGAGTTGTTCGGGCTTCGTCGACTCGGTCGCATTGTAGGCGATGGACTGGTTGGCGATGCCACCGCTCTCCTCGATGGCCTGGATGCTGTCGTTGGACCATTTCATCAAGAATTTCTCCAGATGTTTGTAGACGCGGCCAATATCTTTCTTAGGGACTGATGTCAAGCCGAAGATTTCACTGAAAGAGCGAGGCGCCTTTTGTTGACGGCATGCAATGAAGAGACAACCGGCGAGAATGACATCGACTGGCTTGCCACGGAGGGCATTCGCTTCGTAAACCCGCTTGTAATAACCTTTGGCGCTGTTCTTGATGGGAAAAGTAAGCTGGGCCCTCTCCCCCCAAGCCTCAATTTGGGCATAGGCAGTCTGGAGAACCTTGTCGGCCTTGTTCTCTTGTTGTAGTGCCTGGGCTTTTTTGAGCTTCCGCGTCTCTTTTGAGACATTGGCCCCTCCACCACCGATCATTGTGCCGGTATTGCTGGCGTTGAGGAGATCGTTATCAGCTTCGCCAACTCGGTTGGGATCGTCGCCTTTGCCCTCGTCGGAGTTGAATGTACGCCACTCGGACTCGTAGCTGACAAGACGCTCAGCCAGGACCATCCCGCAGTTGGCGCAGATGGTGTCGGCGTTCTCCTCGATGAGATCGGGCGGGTACTGGTTGCACTCAGGGCAGATGAGATGAGTATTGAGATTCTCGCGCCAGGCTGGGGCGTCTGGCGGTTGGTTCTCAGCTCCCGCAGTGGTCATATTGATTTTCTTAGATGCCAGTGGCCTTGATTTCGACTTTGTAACTTGACCGCTTATTGTCCCCTGCAGTCGCTGGGTCTGACGTCTCTTGATTCCTTTGTAGGTTGTCCGTAGGTTATGATTGTTTGCGAAAGTTTTGACGAACAATGGAGAATACAGTTTGGCGGTGTTTCGAGACGAAGGTCTGCAGGCTAAATTGCGTTTGTCGCAGAAGCTATCAGGCCTCGCCTGACGAGTCGGTCACGCGCAAGTGAAATCGAGCAATCTGAGATATCGAAGCCAGCGAGTGTACGGATTGTATTGGACTTGAGCGCGTTAACGGCTTGGGAGTGTAGACGCAGACTTTGATGGTCGTGAATCGTCGTACACTGGAGCAAGGCAAGTGTCAGTCAGGTCATCAGCAAATGAATGAGACAACCCAAAAGATGATGCCGCACCACGCTCAAGTCAACTATCTAATATCGAGTACCTTTTTCTCGCGCAAGTGAAAGCGAGGAGAGGCGAGCGCAGCCTTTCAAGTGAAGCGCAGAGGCGAACAAGACGAGGGATCTGACTGCGACCGTTCAACCAGTGAAGGTCTCGTGCGTCAGGGAAAAGTTGAGATTTTCTGAAACACGATATGTCGTCGTCAGCGGCGCCGTTCGAGAGTGCGCAAGGGCGTCAGGAAAACCTTCGCGGGGGAGAGAAGAAGGCAAAGAGGATTTCTTGACGAGTGCTGCGATTATGTGATAGCGAGGTGGTGGAGAGAAGGCGATGGAAAGGAAGTTCAGATGAGCAAGGCGGCAAGGTGCTCGGGTGAGCCATCTACACGTGACTGCCGCATTTGATCTAGCCTTTGAGCTGCATTTCACTTCCAACTCACTTGCAGGACCTCATTTGAGCTCTGTGACTGACTGACCCGGACTGTTGTACCATCCCCTCAGGATCGAAATGGCGCAATCACTCAGAGCCAGTGTAAGTCTCTCAATCGGAGGGACACGCAACCACTGACACGAACTTTAAGGGCCGTCTCCTTGCTCGGGTAAGCTCCAGAACGCTTCCACCCTTACGTCGAAGCTTTGCAGCTGCGTCAGTCTCAAGAGGTAAGTCACAATTAAGATACGTCAGAATCCATCACTCACACATTGCAGCGGATTTGATTCAAGACCTTTACCTGAGGGAACTTCGAGCATACAAGCCTCCACCACAGAAGGCATCCGACGCAGAGGGACATGTTCAGAAATTCGCGCCGCCTGCCGCCCCCAAGTCGCCAGAAGAGACAAATCTAGCTAGCGAGATGAAGGAGTACGAGGAGCAGTCTGTGGAGATCGAAGGGACTTCTCAACCGGGAGAGACACAACCCGAGGAGAACTTTTTCGAAGACCTCGATGCGATTGACGCCGAAGACAAGGAAACCGCCCACCACTGAACTGAACAAAATCTCCTGTACAATCAATCGAACATGGGATAAATCCCTTTTGCAGCCATGGAATGGACGATTCAGTTTGCTGCAGACGGAATTCACGCGCAACGTTGCTAGATTCCCTTTTCATTTTGGGGCTTCTACGGAAAGCTCTTTGCGTGATATCTCCACGCGTCGAAATCTCGCTGGGATTGATCAACGCAGCTCGCTGATGTCGACTTTACCGCTTGGAGCTCGAGTCACGTCTCACCCCAGCATTTACCGTGTTTGACTACCACCAGCGCAGATATCAGGATGATCCTCGGTGTTGATGGCACGTTTCCCACATTGCTATGCTGCATTTTTGACGACACGAGTGCTGTGTACCACGTAGGAACCGCCCATCATGCATGCCAAGATCCGCGTTGCAGAGGTCAAGCGACCAAATACGTGTCTCAAGACCATCTTCTTTCCTCCCACCGTAGTCGGGCTTGCGTCTAATAATGTCGGTGGACTACATCCTCAGGCACCCATGCCGAACGCAGCCCGAGTAGTTTGACAGTTCAGCGTCAAATCGAGTCAGACCAGACAAAGACTGCAGTAGTGGGCGGAACATATGCTTGTTGTCGACGTAAGTTGTCCGAGGTGGTGACGAGGCCTTGAAGGAAAACCTCCCAGAGGGCGGCCTTGGTCAGCACGCAATGTAAGCATTCACAGCATTTTGGTGAGATCTCAACCAATCGGTAAGCAATGTTTGCGCAGAGGACGGAGAGGAACCCTCAAGGTAGCGACTCTTGTTGGAGGTACACGTACTCGGATGGCCAAGGACGATCCTTTTGACCGTAAGCCGTGAAGGTCGGGACTTGCTGCATCATAATGTACGAGGTAGAACCTGTGGTATAATCTGCGATCGTCAAACATCAGTGGGTAACTCCACGGTGCAAGCAGAGATATGGAACTAAATAGCGGTCTCCAGCAGGATGATGCGATATGCGCTATCTATGGGGACCCCTGGAGAGACATCCCAATGTGCCAGTTTCGCGTGCAGCTTTTGAGAAACAAGCGAAAACCATCCTTGGAAGCAAGCAAGAGGCCTTTCGCCTGAGTGGCCCTGGCCAGGGCCCATCGGTGTTTGGTGACGCCGATGTCTCTGTCTGGGCACCTCCGTAACCGCCAACAGGCACTCAAGGCACCCCATCCATCACTCCTGCATCCTGTTACGTGCGTCGTGCGGGCTCAACTTGCTGCAACCGGCAACTCTCATTTCCACGCAGCTAAACTGAGATAATGCTTCCAGCACTGTTTCCCGGCTTGCTTCGTTGTCAATAGTTGTCCACCACACTGATTATTCTTCGGTCCTTCGTTATTGTTCATGCTAGGGTTTCCCTTCTGCACATTTTCTGTCGTTAACGTGAGATTTGCTACCTTCCTACCTCAAACATTGGATACGACGCCCTTTCCTCTCACCCTTTCGGATTCGCAGGCTGTCCAACTGTGTCGACCAGTCCGCGTACACGGGCCAGGCTCGGCCCACGATTTATCGGCCTTGCACGTCGAATGGTTGTCTTCTGCTGCATATTGCCCTAATGGCGAGGAATAAAGAAAGGTCGATAACTCCAGCATTGGTGTAGTCGCAGCGACACCTGGGACGGTCGTCTCTCCTAGTACATGCTATTCCACACAACCCCCCACCAGTACCATGGCGTTGACTGCACAGATGGATGGGCAGATTCTGCCCGCCT